CTCCCCACCAGCCTCACCGAACGCCGGGGGAAGATGCCGCAGCCAGCGGGGAGCCTGCCCGGCTCGTGTGCTGCTGGCTTCCAGCAATTCTTTCCCGCTTCCCGAGGACCGTTTTGCTATACTGTGTTTCTATATGGTGTGCCTGGCAGGCAGCCCGCTCCCCTTCCCAGTCATGGGGGTTTTCCACGCTGGGCTTTGCAAACTACCTCTGTGCTGGGTCCTGGGAATTGGGGCCTCTGCAGGAAGGAATTCGCTGGTCAGCGGGTTGAGTGGAGCTGTACGACCCTATTCCTGTTAGCAGTGACTTTAACTTGGAGGCAGCATCCAGAAGGGTTTGGAAATTCCCAGTGCCCCTGTTTGGCTCCCCTTGATGCCTTTGGTCCGTGTGTGCACCCAAGGAGCCTCTGCCTTCATCCCGAAGCCACCGGGGGAGCAGACCCTGCTGTCTGGTTAAACAGGGTGCACAGAGCTGAGGGTTTTGCAGGGCTGAAGGGCAGCCCAGAGCTGGATGGGCAGAGGCCTGCGGGGTCAGGAGAGGGGCTCTCCTGGCATTATGGCATGAGATGCCAGGAAACTGTGACGCTGGAAGCCAGGGAAGTAATTTATAGGCAAACTCGAGTCTCTGGTGCTGGGGTGTGGGGTATGAACATGGGAAGCATTTAGGATGGAGGTTTGAGTGAGTTCCTACAAGCTCCCACAGTGGTTTCACTGCCTGGGAAAGGCTCACAAGCAAGGTGTTTTGGTGACCTTTGCTATGGTCCCACTATTTTTGCACACTTGGTGTGTAAGGACACCGTAGCCTCTGCCTAGGACACCCTCCCCTCTTCCTGTAGTCTGGAGGTTCTTCCACCACAGGGATGCACAGAGGGCTGGAGCTGGGCTGCCCAGGCAGGGGGTAGCTGGAGGCACCATTGCATGAAGCCCTGTTGCAAAAGCTCTGTATGGTGTCTGACACAGACCCTGTGGCCAAAAAGACTTTCCCTGTGGCTGAGACACCACGGAGGGGCACCCTGCCTGGTTATTTCCCCCTCCATGTGTCTGTCTCCATCCTGCACTTCTGAGCTCTGGAAAGAGGCTAGAGGCTGCAGGAGCCCAAGCTGCTGAGAAATGGGTTTGTGTAGGTGGGTGCAAGAAATTGTGCCTGGCCAAGTGGCTGCTGGATGATGATGGTGTTGGAGAGCCCTAAAAAGCCTTGCTTCCACCCCCCACCCCCGGCAGCTCCTCTGTATCCCAAAAGTTTGGTCTGCCTTGCCACCCCCCCACAGACAGGGATGCTCACCCATCTCTCGTTGCCAGGAGCTGCCTGCTTTCTCCCTGGGCTGGGGGCACAGGTGATAGAGCAAGGCACCTGGGGAGGAGGGAGTGAATTGGGTGCTCTGAGGGAAGGGAGGCTGGAGGAGAGATGGGGCACGGACCTCCATGCCAGTTTCCATGGGGCCCCGCTGATCAGGCAGGCAGGTGCATCTGCATTGCTCAGCCAGAGCAATGGCCAAGTAGTTCTGCCCTTAGTTTGTTCCCTCCTGGGTTCCCTCCAATCCACCTTCCCTGGAGGGGCTGGAGTGAGGGTCTGCTCAGCCAGCTGCTTTCTTCAGGGTGCAAGCTGCGGCGACCAGGGACTTGCCAAAGATTGATGCCTGTGAAAGGAACGCGTGCCTTGACCCTCTTCAGCAGCTCAGACTCTATTTTGGGGCTGGCCTCTGGCTAGAAGATGCTGCTGCAGTGTCTTGAAAACACACAGAGAGCCAGGGACTTTCCAGGCGCCTGCTGCCACGGCTGGGTCTGGGAGTGGGCAAGGAAGGGAGCTGGCCTCCGTGCTGGGACTGCAGAGCTCTCCTGGGCTCCTTCAGGAGTGGAGGGAGCCCTGGGCTGGACTGGTCCATGCTGGGGGCAACCTGCAACATGTATCCCCTCCCTCCACATTCCTTGTCCTCATATCACATAGGCTCTGGAAGACATTTCATCAGGGTGGATAGCTACAGGATCAGTGCTCCCCAGCTTCTCCACTACATGGATCTGCAGTGGGACAGTGTCCCAGATGTGCCAACTGCAAGGGTTCATCCAAGTGCTCAGCTGGGTACTGCTGCCTGGAGAAGTTGCACAAATAAAGACTGGAAAGGTGGTAAAAGCCAGTGTGGCTCTCCTTTTTCTGCCATGTCCTGATGCCACCAGTGCTTTGGGGTTGGAGGGATGGGTGACAGCACACAGGATGCCTCCAGGGACCAGTTCCCTGTGCTGCCAGGTACCCTGGGGAGATGTACCCACAGGCAACCTGCTGCTGCCCATGGCCCGTGCCTGCTGCATGCCCCAGGGGCTGCTGCCTGAGACCACATTGACGTTGGTGCTGCATGAGTGCATGGGGAGCTGCATCCCTGCATCTGGGAACTGGGCACACAGGTACCCCCAACCATGAGAGCTCCCTTTCTCTTTGCACGGGTGATGGGGGAAGGTGCAGGAGCACAGCCCTGGATCCCATGCTACCCCAGGCACCCAACTTGTCCCTGAGGAAGGCAGCAAGCCACTGCAGCTTGCCGGTCTCCTTGCCCAAGAGAGGGCTGCAGGGCAGTTGTTGGTGACTGCCCCCACCACGATGCCAGCATTGCCCCATCCCTCTGAGGGGGGCGAGAGCCTGGGTATCTTATTGCAGGTCTGCTTTCTACAGCAGCCAGGACTTTGGTCTCCCCTTAGGTTACTCATTGCCCTTGATAACTGTTTATGAGGGTCCTTATCAGGAACAGGTGAAAAGTCCTGGGGCTGCACCCCAGGGTTCAGACAGCACAGCCAGGGAAGGGGCTTGGTCCCCACCGGCACTGGGGAGACCCCAACACAGCTCCGCATCCCGTCAGGGCTCCTGGGATGTGGCTGACGCAAGCAGCAGGAGTGGGGCTGACCGAGGAGCTGGAGGCCAGGGCAGGTGATGAGAGTCTGTGAGCAATGGGGTGGTGAAGCTGGGGATGGAACGGCAAAGGGGGCTCCTTTCTGTCTGCATGGGGGGGCTGGAGAGACACCGGTGCCCAGCTCTTCTCAGAGGGGACCCTGGGACAGGGCAAGAGACAGTGGATGCATCAAGGGAAATTCCAATTAAATAGCAGGGAAAATGTTTCCAACATGAGAACATTTCAAGCACTGGAACAGGTTGCCCAAAGCAGTTGTAAAACCTCCATCCTTGGTCTCTTCCAGACCATTCCCTGGCAATTGCATGAACACGTGGAGGTCTCTAGCCATCCCCTGCTCAGAGCAGGACTGGTGTTTCACCAGGTTGTTCAGGGCTTGGTCCAGCCATGTGACCATCTCTTTGGGTGGCCTTTGTCCTGAAGGCTCCTATTCAGCTCCTCCAGGTCCACTTCTGCATAGCCCCCGTCTCACCAGCCCTGCCCACCCTTGTCTGGCTGCATGCGGTTGCACCATCCCACCTGTTGGACTTCACATTTTGTCTGTGTTGAACCTCAGGAGGTTCCCATCAGCCCATTCCTCCAGCTGGTCGAGGTCCCCATTCACCCTCAGCTCCCCCCAGTTTGGCATCAGCATCAACGCACAGTGGGCTGTGCTATCTCCCCCAGCCCCATTTGCAGTCCAGCCCCCGCACATCCCAGCCCTACAGATGCATTCAGCTGTTTGGGAATGCTCCCGAGGCAGCTGGAGAGGGATGGAGGCTCAGGGGGCTGGGATGTGGGGTCACCCTGAGCTCCTTCTCACCTGTGTGGGGTGGGTGGCTTGGTTTGGGAGCAAAGCACAAGGCGGAAAAGCGAAACAGATTGACTCCTTGGTTTCCCTAATGGCTTGGCTGCCTGCCAGGGTCCCTGTCTGGGGAACAAACAGGCAAGCAGCAACATCTGATCACTGAGAGCAGGTAGCGGCAGGTTGCAGGACCGGATAGGAAACAGGAGCCCACAAACTCATCTAGCCATGATGGGGGCCCTGTCTCCGGCGTGCCCCCACCTGGCACCCCACTCTGTGATGGGCAGCTGGGAACAAGACAGGACGTGTCCGTAAAGTGGGGCTCACAGCTTACAGGAATCCCCCACCCTCCTGCTTCTCCATCACCCAGCCCTCCGCTGGACAGTGGGCTGCCTGCCAGGCTCTCCGAAAATGAAAGCAAAGTGTCCGGGAGATAAATAGGAGCAGCCTCAGCACAAGGCAGCAGTGCGCGTCCTGCTCCCCAGCCTTGCTGAGCTCAGCACCCGCAGCACCCGCCATGGCTCTGCGCCTCCTCCCGCTGCTGCTCCTGCTGGCTGCTACCGTCCTCATCGCCCGGGCTCAAGGTGAGGGGCACGAAGCCCTGCTGCCCGCCTGCGGGTCGACGGGGCAGGGGATGGGTGCTCGGCGGGGTCTGTGCAGGGTGCTGAGCGGTGTGGTCGCAGTGCATGTGCAGGGTGCTGAGCAGTGCGGTCGCAGTGCATGGTGGGTGTTTGCAGTGCATTTGGGTGTGTGCGTGGCTGGGGGTGTGGGGTTTGCAGTGCAGTCATGTGTAGGGGGGGTGGGTGTGTGTGC